TTTCTTCCAGCTTACCTGTGCCAACTTTATCATCTTCAGCTACACACTGTATTTGAAGCTTCTTAATTCCATATCTCACTGGTACTAGCTGGGAAGATCCCCAGACCAAGCCATCTGCCTAAATACTTCTGACACACTCTTCCAATTTTGCCATGTTGGTTTCGTCATCCCAAGGCTTTATATCTTACAATACGATTGAAGCCTTGAAAACAAGTGCAGGTTTTTTTGGCTTTCTTTGATTCAGACTATATACAAGATGTTTTTACTCTTAACTTCTTTGTTTACTCACTTTCCTCCTCCTCGCTCCTCGTCAGATCCAAAGAGATCAGTGTCATTGTCATCTTTCCTGTCTGCAGCTCTACTTCCTATGGTGTTTTCCACACTATACTTGCCCAAAGATTTCTTCACTCCTGACAGGCTGACCTTTTCCTTCTTCTAAGACTTGATGTGATTATACCAACATAGGGCATGACACAGGTCAGCAGATGGGGGACAGGAGATGGTTTCAAACACCGCCACATCTGCTTGCCATGGCAAATACCCCTCGATGTAGCTCTTGTCAGTCAGGTAATCGTTGAGGACCCAGAGGCCAGTGGCTGTCTTGAGGTCTCCAAAGCCCATGATGTCGGCTCTATGTGGAGCTAGGTTAGGTGGCAGCAGAGGCCAAGAAGATGGGAGGAAGTCGGCCCAATGCATTCCTGGGGTGGGAGGGAGGCTCTGTGTGTTTCTGTGTTTAATGTTCGCACATCAGAGGAATCACTCAGTGTAGTGTAATAGTCTGAAAGTTTCTAAAAATGTTAAACAGTTCATTAAAAAATAATAATAACATTTTTAAAAAGGAAATAATAGCTATGGCTTCTTAGCAACACTAATCTTACTCTTGACAGTTTGTTACTGTCTACTATATTTCATAGTGCTATTATCCCTACTATTACATAGGCCTGTCATTTCAGAAGTGGATGGCCCTAGTCTGTCTCAATCTTTATATAATAGTATCTGACAGACAAGCATTCCACAGAAAAGAGCAGATGAGAAACATTTGCCCAGTTATAACAATGACCTTACTCATCAGTATGGATGGTGAAGAGATTGAGATAGTTAACATTTTTAGTTTGCTTGGCTCTACAATCAACACTCTTGGTAACAGCAGCCAGGAAATCAAGAGACGAATTGCATTAGGAAAGTCAGCTGTGAGGGGACCTCTCAAGAGTACTGAAAAACAACGATGCCAGGCTGGAGACTAAGGTGCGCCTGATCTGGGCTATAGTCTTTGCAATTACGTGCTATACATCAGAGAGTTGGACAGTGAATAGGGATGATAGAAAGAGAATTGATGCCTTTGAGCTGTGGTGCTGAAGAAAAATATTGAATATACCATGGACTGCTAGGAGAACAAACAGGTTTGTCCTGGAGAAGGTGAAGCCGGAATGCTTGGAGTCAAGGATTCTGAAGCTTCATCTGACATACTTTGGGCATGTTGCAAGAAGGACTGGTCCTTGGAGAGGGACATCATGTTTGGCAGAGTGGAGGGACAGCACAGGAGAGGTAGACCTTTGATGAGATGGATCGATTCTGTGACTGGAGTGGTGGGAATAAGTGTGTTTGAAATGGCTAGGTTGGCACAGTATAGAACAGCGTTTAGAGCTCTTGTACATAGGGTTGCTATGAATTGCAAGCAACTCGATGGCATATAACACAACAGCAGTTATCTCTACTACAAAGGCATACTATTTTTAAAAAGTGTGTAATTATTACTTTGTTATTATTTGCCTTCAAGTGGAGCACGAATCATAGCAACCCTACAAAAGACCTGAAGCCTCTATAACTATCGACATTCATAAAAGCTCATAAAGTTTCCAGAGGCATGCTGTTTAGGAAGTGGATGCAACTCTTGCTACTTTAGTACTATGTTAAAGACTGCCTCTGGAAATGTTTCTGTACTATTTTTAATGTGTTAAAAGGTACACTATACACTAACAAACTTTAAAAATTGTGGCTTTAGTGTGTATACAAACCAAATATATATCCATTCAACCATACATACGCATTTTGTTTTCTTACATTAAAATCTCCACATAAACAGCAATTTTCCCATATCCTTTGTCTCAGTCTTGTTTCCATTAATTCTCTCCTATCCCTTCTGCCTTCTGAACTTCACCCCAGAGCATATGTTGCCTTTTTGATGGGGTGAGGTTATTAGTCTAAGCGTCCTTACACACCTGTCTTCCCTGGTGAAAGCTGAACCACAGGCATGGGTATATTTCCAGACTCAAAGGTGACTAAGGACCATAGTCTTGGGAGTTCTACCAGTTAAGAAAACTATTTGTCTAATGACTGTTACTTTGATACAAATTCAATTCAAAGACAACTGAGTGGGCAGAATTTATTCATAATCTGAGTACTGCCCTTAAAGGAAATAATAGAACTTTTTTTATAAGAGTTGTTTTAAAATTTAAATGTACTAATCTATGTACAATGACTTAGCATCTGAGATAAAGGTAAATGCCTAGCAAATAATGACTTTGGGTCAGTGATATTACTCTTAGTACTATTGTGTTGTTTCTGTCTCTTATGTACTAGATCCTAACATGTACAAATACTTTTGCTTTTTCAAGGGCTTGCACCTTTTATTATCTACTCTCCAGCATCAAAACCTTTACTTTTTGAGAGTTATTCCCATTGACATATAAATTTGCTGCAGTGTCTCTTGTCCTTTTTTCTTTTCTTTTGACCTCCCTATACTCCTGGTCATCATCCATTCTTTCTTGAACCCATCTCTCTGTTTAAACAGCTCTTGTCAGAATCACCAATGACCTCCATATTGCCAGGTCCAATAGTCAATTCTTATCTTAATTATCAGTATTTTACATACTTAATCACTCCCTCATTGAAGTATTTTTCTCTGATTTTCATGACACCACACTCGTCCTGTGTACATCACTGGCTATTATTTTTTAGACCTATCTTTTACCTCCTAACACTGGAAAGCTCTGGAGCTGTTATCATCAGGTCTGTTTTCTTTATTGCCAAATTGCTTTTCTGTCTTTTAAATACCAAAAGAGATCAGAACCCACTATTCCATTTCTGTTCAGTATGAGCAGATCTGGTAGGTTAGTTCTCAAAATTCCCATAATTTATTATTCAATCTTCTGATTAGTTGGTCCTTCCTCAGAAGAATTCACTTATGCCTGACTGCTCTTTATCATTGTATACACTAAAACCAATAAATGTGATTCTGTTTTGTAGGAATCGTATTCATTTAATTAGGGAATTTTCTAGAAATTTACACAAAACTACAGTGATAATGCCCAGCCAAAATCAAACCCACTCTAAGTGTGTTGATTCTGATTCACAGTGACCAAAAGGTGTACATCTTCATTGAAATAGATCCATCCACATCTTTCTCCTATAAAGTGCCTGGGGCATTCAAACTACTAACCTCTTGGGTTAGCAAGTGTTTCAACTGCTGTACCAAGAGCACCTAGTGACAATAAAGGCAACAGAATATTTGCAAATAGAAACACACCCTTATGCCATTGTGGGTATTGTAGAAGGAAAGAACACCCAGTATTAGCTATTTGGCAAATTTGGTCAGTCTTAATTTTCTTCCAACATGCCACAGGAGGGCAGTATTTTATCATCGTCTGCTTGGATTGAACCACTAGTGAAAGGGATGCATTTCATCACTTAAAAAGGGAAATTAGACTATTATGCCAAAATAGTTCATTAAAGGTAATAAAAGTGTTCTTTTGTAATTTTACCCCAAAAGTTATAAAATTAAAATACATCATTATAAGGACAGTTGTCCAGTGGTACAAAAGATAATCGAGAATTTTACATAGATCACAAGTACTTTTTTTAGAAGGCTGACTGCTAGTTTTCAGCTTTTACTAGTAAATGAATTCATTTCCATGGTCACTAATTCATACATTTACTAAGTGCCATCAAATCAAAACTGACTCATAGCTGACCTTCCAGTGGATTTTCAGAGAAGGTGAATCATATGGAAAGAGATTATCCATCTTTCTCTTTCAGATAAGTTGGTGGATTCAAATGGCTGCTTTTAGGTTATTAATGCAACTCCTTATCCATTACGCCACCAGTGTTCCCTGAGGTCCCTCAGAAGTTAATTAAAAAAATAATAAAACTTCATCACCATTGAATCAGAATAGACTCATAGCTGACCCTTCAGTGTATTTTTGGAAGCTGTAAATTGTGAAAGAAGACTGCCTATCTTTGTCCTGCACAGCAACTGGTGGATTCAAATCAACTGCCTTTTGGTTAGAAGCACAATTCCTTATAGATTATGCCACCTGAGTGAGTAGATTAGGGATTATTGTAACGGGCTATTAATCAGAATTTTGTTATTTTTAAAACCTTTTCCTAATAATATTTTAAATTTATGTAGTTGAAATACTCCTCATTTTATTCAGTATAGCAGATGTAGGTGTGTATTTGTTGAATATTTCTGCAAATATTAAATTGAAAGATAGAGGCAAAGAATTTTTTTAATATCTTTTTAAGGTAACTGCATTGTACACAAGAGTTGAAGAATCACATGTAAGGCATATAAATCAGTGTTTAGTCATTAAAACTAATACAATACTACAATAGATTACTAATTCCTTTACAAGATAAATTTCTTAGGTCAGATGGATTCAGTTATTGGTTTTTTCCTCTTAGCAATTTCCCTCTGCCATAAACTACAGAGATAACTAAAAGAAAGAATAGAAAACCCACAGATAATTCAAGACTTAGGGTTAAGCTGTGTAAAATGTATTCAAGTATCTTTCGACACATTTCCAGGCTTTAAAATCCTAAATGGCTTCTTCAGCTTAATCACATTTTGGTCATATGGTATAGTAACAAAAAGAATCTATTAAATTTAACAATAAAACTGTCCAAAAATACAAGAGTATAGTCTATTCTCTCCATTACTCCTCAACATTGAAAACCAGAGACCTCGAATGGCTATATTTTAGTAAGAAGTCTTAAAAATCTCATTTGCTGGCTTTGATTTGGTTGTCTTTTGGAATGGACTTGCCCAAGTGATGGCCTACAGAAAGGCCAACCTTCTTGTTTTTCTGCTCCTCTTGTACCTCTTTTTTCATCAAGAATCCTGCCTGGAAGTTTAGGTCAAAGAGGCTGCTTGGAGCAAAATACAGTGGAGTCTCACTCCAAATATTCTCCAGGCGCTTCTTCCATCCCTCTAGGATCTGGATCCTGTCATCTGCTGGAGTGTGCCCAATGCTATATGTCAGCTGAGGTTCTAAGACTTGGAAGCCACAGAAATGCAGAATGCCACTCTGGGGATAGACAAAGCATGGAGGTGAGTCAGAATAAACACATTTTCTGCAGTGTGTACCAACAACAAAAGTTGGTCTCAGCTTTTCAGTGAGGCTTTATTCAACAGGTAAAGAGGTCTGAGGTAACCTGGAGAATCAGTTGAAAAAAATACATCCTCTCACCCTCTCTAGGCTTACCTGCTACCTGTTTTAAACTTATTTAGCTGTACTCTTCTTGTAAGTGAATAAAACCCTAAAACCGTGCCAGCCTAAGATCCTCTGCCAAAAGTGAAGGAAATTCTATTACATGAGGGAGAGTTTCATGCTCCTTGGCGGCTGATTGTTGTCAAGACACACAGATGAGCATTTCTCTGTCTCTCCTGATAAGATGATCCTTCACCAGTGATTCTTCTGGGTGGCCACCTCATTTGCTCTTTTCTCTATCCCCCTTCCTTGTAAAAGATTATAGAGTTCCTTGACCATTAAAAACTCTATTTAACACTTTGGTTTTACTCATCTGTAAAATTGGATGGATGAATAATTTTTTTTTAATGTGCATGGACTTTTTAACAGGGTGAGAACAGTATGAAGGATGGGAAGTTTGGAGAGAAATGTTAATTATCTGGAAAATATCAGCTCACATGGCTACAGAAATCAAGGGTTGCCAGTACTAGGCCTTCGTGGGGAGTCACATTTGAATATGAGCATGCATGGTATATTCTGTAAGTACAGGGGCATGGCAAGAGGCAAGTTACTAAAGTCCCCCATCGTTCTGAGCCATTACTAACTGTATTTTAATATCTCAGATGTATCTATAGCTGTTGTCTTGAGATTTTGGACCCCCCAAAAGTTGAGCTAATAAATTCTCCTGAAAAATTCATTGAAAACAAGTTACCTGAATTGGCCAGAGAATGATGTTCATGTCCCCGTGGATACCCTGGAGAGAGTACATGGAGCCACTGCCACCAGTGGTGATGGAAAGCACCGCCTTCTTATTCTGTAAAAGGAAAAAACTCTCAAACCAAAGTTTCATTACCCTCCACATCTCCTTGGTGACAGGAAGTTAATGAAACAACCCCAGGGAAAAGAAGAAACAAGTCCATCATATTTGCTGTTTATATTTTGGCTCCTCTGAGCTAGCCAGTATGACAACATAGACATACCAAACTAGAAGATGGCACACTGATGTGTAGCAAGGGCCAGCCCAAGGATCCCATGCTCCTGGGTGTGGCCTGCTGGTTGGCTGGAGAGAATTATTTGCGACTTTTCTAAAATCACTTTGCACCCTGCTATGTTTGTAATTGTTTTGTGCCATCGAGTCATAACTGACCTACCTATAGCTGACCCTCCAGCGGGTTTTTCAGAGGTAATTAATAGTATGGGAGAAGTGCCCATCCTGTGGAGCATCTTGTGGATTTGAGCCACATGCCTTTAGGATTGCAGCATAGCCTGTTAACTCTAGGCCACCAGAACTCATGTCTGTAATAGAAGGGCTCAGGGTGTTTCAAGTGCATATTTGGGTTTCTAAAACACTTGAGAGTTCTTGTTATGAAAAATTTCTAGCTTAAAAAAAATATAGCATGATGATATGCCCATCACCCAGCTTCAACTCTTAGTACCTTTCCATTCTAGTTTGATTTCTTACCTCTCTGACTTCTCAGATCTTTAGAAACAAATACCAAACATCATTTGAGCTTTAAAAATTTGCATTCTAAACTTTAATTGTGCTTATAATGCACCTCAGCAAAGAATTCTGGTGTTAGAAAAATCAGGAGCATCTACCTACCCTGAAAGGTCCCTTGTCATACATGGCAGCATATGTGTAAGCAAACTCCCCAGTGAGAACTCGCTCAAACCAGCCTTTCAAAATGGCAGGGACTCCAAACCACTGCAACGGGAACTGTGGGGCAGAAGACATCAAAAAGTAAGTCAGGGACACCTGGGCACAGAAAGGGACCAGTGGGCTTGGCTGCAGCTCGTCCAGTCAGCATAAGGCAGAGCCTTTTCTTCAGGCTTCTGTCATTCCTTCTGGTGAAAGTAACACAGTGAAACAAAAACAACCCTGATTCTCCTTATTCAGTGAACTTTCTTTTGTGTCTAAAGACATGAATATCAGTGAGGTTTGAATAAAGCCACAGGCAAGTAAGACCTATTAATAGGAAATCATTTTTCCACCAGTCTAAATAAAAGGATTGCAGACAAGTTTTTTTACAAGGTTTTGATGAATGCTGCCTAAACCAGTATTTTCTCAAGAGCTTGCTTTAGTAAGTGTAATGCAAAACAATGGTAGATGCCTTGTGCTCACAAACATGAAGCCATATCATTTAGAGCAAATGAAATAACACAAACAAATGATCAGTGACTAACAGCAAGAAATTCTCATGAGAAAGTCTTTTTGGCACTTTGTCCTGGTAAAAACAATAAGGGCTGTACCAATATTTCTTTTCTTCGATCATGACAAAACAAACATACCTAAAAAAAAACAACAACACATAAACAAAGCATGACTTTATAGCATTCTCTAATGTTTGACCTACCAAAAAAGGGACTGTGTAGGTAGGCTTTTGGGAGGTTTTTAAATAGAGAGTCTTAGAAAAGAGATCTTCATTCTCCTCCTGAGTCTGCCACTAATTTTTTAATAGGAACCTTTTACTTAAAAGCTCTGTAACTTGGGAGCTCTGGTGGCCGAGTGACAAGAAGCTGCACTGCAATCCCAGAGGTATGCGGTTTGAATCCACAAGATGCTCTGCGGGAGAAGGAGGGGCAATCTCTTCCTGTACCAGACAGACACATGCACACAGAGCCCTGTTGGCCATGCATTTAGCAACTAGGAGTTGGTGGTTGTGTACTGTCGAATCAGATCTGACTGGCACAGGAAGAGATTGCCCCTCCTTCTCCAGCAGAGCATCTGGTGGATTTGAACCACACACCTTTTGGGATTGCAGTGTAGCTTTTTACCACTAGGCCACAGAGCTCCCTAGAATAAGCGTAAGGGTAGAATAAACGACTTTGCAGATGACATATATATCTACAAAAAACCACAGAAGGCATGATCCTCCTTGTGAGATTTCTGTCGTACACAATACCAAAAAGCTGTTTGGAATTACTAAAAGCAAAGTTGTGGAGTACTTTAAGAAATGTTGACACAATGCCCAGGTAGTTCCAATATTAGTTGTTAAGTGGTGAGGCTCTGCTGAGCTTAGTGGTGGCCTTGTGGTAAGAAGTTGTGCTATCAAACGGAGGGCTTACAGTGTGAATCCACCAGTTGCTCCAGGGGAAAATGATGGACAATCTCCTACTGAGTGATATACTGTCTCTGAGAACCCACTAGTGGGTCAGCTATGGGTCAGTTCTGACTTGACAGCACTTAAGAAGTAGTAGTGAGGTAGCTCGGGGGAGAAGAAAGGCCATAGTTTGCTGATGGAACACTCGAAGCGGAGAAGTGTACACTTCAGTTGAAAAGATGCAGTAGCAGGAATCTCTCGTGGCCTAGTGGAAGGACAATTTCCTCCTGTACCAGTCAGATCCGATTTGACAGTACACAAAAAAATAAGTTTTTTAAAAAAGATAAGATGCAATAGCAAAGAGATTGATCTCATGTATCGCTGAAACTATTCAGGGTGCTTAAGAAGAAAGAAATCCTACCAGGAGGGGCCAACTGAACAGATTTACACAAGGAAGTAAAATGTTCAATGTATATATATCATCTTTCTAGTCACATTCACATCCTAAAAGACTTAGAGATCCTTAATGTCTCTGTGTAATGCTGCACCTTTGAAACAATCACCTTAATTTACTGAGGATGCAGTAAATTTCACTTTAAAATCATAAGCCCAAATTAAAGTCAGAAAGTTGGAACTCAGGTGCCCACAACACCCTTTACCATACCTGAAATATCACCAGGTCCGCAGCTTCCAGCTTTTTTTGTTCAGCTACAACATCTGGGCTCAAACGGCCTTCTTTATATGCCAGAACTGACTCAACAGGATACTTAAAGTTCTCTGGATCCTTTAGTTTACCTGCAGAGAAGGAAAAGAGGCAGGAGCCATGGGGTCTGAGATTAGGCCAGAGACCCCACAGCCAAGGAGTTTCACAAAGCCCAAGAGAAGAGCTGGTCTCACCTGTGATGTCATTTTTGGAAATAAGGGGGTTGAAATTCATGGCATAAAGGTCTGACACAGTGACCTCCCATCCTTTCTTCTTCAAAATTTCTACAGCAGCCTCCTTCATGGCGTAGTTGAAGGAAGTCTTCTCAGAATGAGCCAGCACAATCAGTGCTTTTCTGATTACTTAGACACAAAGCATATGGAGAAAATCAGTTACCAAACTGCAAAGCTTCAGTTACAGAGCAGTCAGGACCCTTAACAAAAAGGTCATGGAGTCAGATACTCGATTATGTCATCTATCTTCTGCAGACAAAAGCCCATTTTGTCCTGAAAAGGAGGCATTCTGATTCTGTGGGGAAAAAAATGACTCATTTAATCGATATTTTTTATTATTATTATTATTTTGTGTATGTGTGTCTGTGTACCGTCAGATCAGATCTGATTGGTACAGGAGGAGATTGTCCCTCCTTTCCCGGCAGAGCATCTGGTGGATTCGAACCATCAGTCTCTGGGATTGTAGTGCAGTAATCGATATATTTTTAAGAAATCGAAAGGACCTCTGGTGGCCTACTGGCAAGAAGCTGTGATGCCATCCCAAAGGCGCACGGTTCTAATCCACCAGATGCTCTGCTGGAGGAGGGACAATCTCTTCCTGTGCCAGTCAGATCTGATTCGACAGTACACAACAACAAAAATAATCAAAACTAGTGTTGTCTAATGTCACTCACAGTGACTCCCCATTGGGTTCGTGTGGCTATAAATCTTCACAGGAGGGGACTATTTTCTCCCCACTTGGGACAGCTGATGGATTAAAACTGCTTACCTTTCGGGTGGCTGTGTACCACACTGCATTCTATGCCACCAGCACCACCACAACAGTAAGAAATAATGTGGATATACTTAGTCAACTAGAAAATACCATTATCCCCTAGAAGTAGGTGCTGTCAAGTACAACTTGTAGCAACTCGATGAACAACAGATCTAAACACTTCCCTATCCTGTGCCTATCTTCACAATCTCTGACACACTTGAGCCCATTGCACAGTCATTGTCAGTCCACCTAGGTGGGGGTCTTCCTCTCTTTCACTGCCCCACCACCTTCCCAAGCATGATGTACTTCTTCAATTAATAGCCTCTCTTAGCAACGTGTCCAAAATACGTGAGGTGAAGTTGTGTGCAGAGCAAAGGGGAACACTGCAGGGTTTAAAATTAGAAAAGATGTGGCGAGCTCTGGTGGCCTAGTGGCAAGAAGCTGCAACTGCAATCTCAGAGATGCACGGTTCGAATCCACCAGATGCTCTGCTGGAGAAGGAGGAACAATCTCCTCCTGTACCAGTCAAATATGATTTGACAGTACACACACACACAAAAAATAAAATAAAAAAAATTAGAAAAGGTGTGTGTCAGGGCTGTATCCTTTCTCCATACCTATTAAATCTGTATGCTGAGCAAATTATTCGAGAAGCTAGACTCTAAAGACGGTGAAACCAGGGTTGTAGGAACTCTCATCAATAATCTTTGTTATGCACATTTTGACTCATAGCGACCCCTGTGTACAACAGAACAAAACCTTGCCCCATCCTGTACCTTTTTCACCCTGTGCTTAACTGCTGTTCATTGTGCCCACTGTTGGGGTATCAGCATATGGTTAACCTGATCAGGGGCTAGCAACTAGCAGGCCACAAAGGGGGCCTTTTGAGGTGCCAGCAATATTCTTTTTCCTCATCTGGGTGCTGAGTCTGCAGGTTTCTGTTTAGCATGTGCCAAATCTATCAAGGGTTAAATCTTCAAACTTGTGCACTTGCCTGGGTGCCTGTTATCTAAAAGGAATTTGTTTTTAATTACCCCACTAACATACCACATACAGCTGTAACGGTAGGTGAATATAGAATTTTAAAATGAAACTACTAAAACAGAAGACTAAAGAGAATCTGAAAACCTTAGTCGAGAAGACCTTTCTAAGAAAGGGAAGTGATTTAAAAAGTCTAAAAGGAAAAGCTTGACTGATAAAGTCACATAGAAATAAAGTTACTTTTAAATAAGCAAAAGTTGAGGGACAATTAACTAGGAGAAAAATATTTGTAAGTCTTATCACAAAGAGTTAAAATCTCAAAGGTTAAATGATTACAAATGAGTAAGAGAAGCCATGCAATAGAAAAGTGGTTCAAAGATATAAACATACAGTTCATTAAGGAAGAAAGGCAAATGACAAAATGCAAATGACAATGAACTCCTGGCATGTCAAGAAAAGCAATCATTTGCATCTTCTGTAGCTGTTAAAAAAAATCAACAAATCATATGCCCATCAGACTGGCAAATTTATAACTAATACAGAGCTTCAAAGGGATTCATTCCATTTTAACTTTATGCTGAGACTTTGCCTTTTTTTTTCAGTCCAGATATTATGAATCAGAATCAGCATTTTAACAAGATCCCCAGGTGATTCGTATGTACACATAAGATTGCTTATGTATGCATAAGAATCACCTTGGCTCTCCAAGAACCACCTGAGAATATTGCTAATGTGTAGATAGATGATGATTCAGTGTATCTGGGATGGAAAAGCAAATGAATTCTCATTAAGGTGTTGAATCAGAATGAACTGGTTGGAAACCCTGAACCAGTAACATCGAAGGCTGTTAACATGGCAGGAAAACTGGCACGTTGCTGCTGTGAATATGGATTGCCTTTTGGAAAAGTAACCAGGATGAATCTATTAAAATTTTAAAGGCCCATAAATCTTTACTCAACAACTCTGACATTGGAGAATCTTTTTATTGGGATTTTGGTGAAAGCTTACACAGCTAATCATTTTTCTACTTAACCATTCAATCATATTTTATGATATTAGTAAACAACCCACAGTATAACCCATACCCTTCTCACTGCCTTCCTGTGATTCTTGTTTCCATGAGTCCTGCTGTCTTACTCCTTCGTGCCTTCTGAGTTTTAGCGCTGGGCAAATGTTGCCCTTGTGGTGGTATGTGGTTGATTATTCTGAGTACTGAATGTCTTCTTGGTGTTACTGGTTCATTGTTTGGCTGAAAGTTGAGCCATAGGGGTGAATTTTGCTGTGAACAGATGGTAACTAAAGGCCATAGTCTCAGGGGTTCCACTGGTTTTAATTAGACAAGTAAGCCTGGCTACTTACATGTTTTTTAGTTTTGTTCATATTTTCTTCCCACTGTATGCAGGACTTTCAACTGGGGTCCCTTTTAGAGTAGTAAGCAGGACCATCTACTTCTTCTGGTTGCAGTGTAATGGAGGCTGAGGTTCAGAGGGTCCATTAGTTCATTATTTTTTTTTTCTATGGTGTTTTGCTTTTCTTTGTTCCAGACAAGAAGGGACTAATAGTTGTACCTTAGATGGCTGCTCAAAAGCTTATAAGACTCAAGTCTCTGCTCACCCAAGTAAGATGTAAAACATTGTCTTTGTGAATTGTTTTATTCCCATTGACCTTGATATCCTCCAAGACTATGGACTTAGGACCAGTGTCTCATTCTCTTATAGTGTTTGGTTATGATTAAGAAGTTTATATAACTTTACTCCCTGTTGGCTCTGCTATATTCCTGAATATATTAGTATCTTCATATTAATATGCACAGGGAGCTTTCTGGTGGCTTAGTGCTAAGGAATTAAGCTGCCAACATAAAGTTATATGGTTCGAATCCACCAGCTGTTCTACAGGAGAAAGATGGGCAGTCTCTGAAAAAACCACTGGCAAGACAGCTATGGGCTAATTCCAGTCCATCAGTACTAAACAATATCAACTTTTCCCAATATGAATGTAGGAAAATCAGATGGTCATGGGTTTTGTCTCTTCCACCTGCCCATCCATATGTTCATCTTGCCTGTCTGCCCATAAACCTGCTTGGAGCTTGTAGATTAGTATTTATTGCTGCTGGTCTTGGAGGATTGTCATGTAATCATGTTCATTTTGTAGTCTGTATTTCTTGTGCACCTCTCAGTGCCTTCCCTTTCAGGATATTGTGCTCATCATTCTCATATATTATCTTGCCCTTTCATCCATTAATGCGTCTATTAACTTACTGATTTTCACTCCTTTCTCTCTCCTTTCCCAGCCTTGGTATGAGGAATTTTTTTACATACAGAAAAGATTAAGACATAGATACATACTGTCCCATTCTTTTTACTGGCAAAAATGAGATATGGCCTGATGATCTGTTAATGGATAGTGGCTCAATGAAATCATGCACATCCATACTATGGAATGTTGTAGTGTCAACAAGAATAATAGTGACCTAGAAGGCATATCTATGAAGCATTGTTAACTGATAAAAAGTAAATGACTTTTAATTCATTTTTACTTAAAGATCCATTTCAAAAATAGCTGCTGTTGCTGCTGCTGCTGTTGTTGTGCATCATAGAGTCAGAACCGAACCATAGCTGACCCTCTGGCAGGTTTTCAGAGGCAGTGAATTTCATGGAAGGAGATTGCCTAGCCTTCTCCCACGGAGCACCTGGTGGATTCAAATTTTGTGCATTCATGATTGCAGTGCAGCTTCTTGCCTCTAGGTCACCAGCACTGCCTACGTTGGTATTAGGGACATTTCTTGTAATATTTTATATCTGTTATGATACTGATAAAATATAATAAAGAAGCCCTAGCGGACTAGTGCTTAATGTATTGGGCAACTAGTTGACAGGTTCACACGTTGACTCCACCAGCCACTCCACAGGGAAGAAAATGGATTTTTCTTATATAAATGGATTTCCTCCTAAAAAGATTTAGTTTTAGAAACCCAAAGGAGGAACACTATGAATCAGAACCTATTCAGCAGCAGTGGGTTTGTTAACAGATAAAGAATGGTAAGAGGCAATGTTCCGATATTATTCATAGGGTTGCTTTATTTAAGTCGTAATCAACACAATGGCACCAAATAGCAACAGAAAAAAGGGAATAGAGGTCCTCCTCTGTGCTAATAAAGTTATTCAAACAGGCATATTTTACTTTGTAATATTTAACAAAGTCCTGCTGAAGTGGTGGTTAGCACTCAGCTTCAAACCAAAAAGGTTAGCTGTGGGAACCCACCAGCTACTCCCATGAGAAGAGGGGCAGTCAGCTTTTGTAAAGATTAGAAAGAAGTAAAAACCCTTGAAGCCTCTCTGGGTAGTTCTGCCCTGTTCTAGAGGGGTCACTATAAGTGAGTCCAGATCAAGTT